AGGTTTTCTATAATAGGTCATCTAAGCTTAAGTCATAAGAAATTGATTCTAGTTTATAACAATCACAGTTGAATGTGAAAAGAGTACTTGATTATGATTGATCATTTTCTTACAGCTTAATGGCCATTCTACAAGAAGCCATTAGTAATAAATCAGAAATCAGAAGCTAAAAATTGATCAATTCTTACACAGTCAAGTGTAAGAAGAATAATTGATTGGTCAATTTCTAGCTTCTGATTTGATTTATTACTTAATGGCTTATTGTAGAATGTGTATAAAACTTAAAACTTGGATAATGACTTAATGTAGACAGTCCATTTGTTGTATAAGTTGGCTATTAGCCAACTTCACCGATTAAAACTTAAACTTGTTCTAGGGTCGTAAGCCATAAGAAATTAATCCATTATAATCTATTATTGTTTCCATATTCAACTGTCAATTGATCAATTTCTTATAGCTTATAACTTGAGATTTTATTTTTGAATTATCGTGATAGGCAATGCTCGAAATGTCTATTTCTATAAAAGGATTTTCTGTGTTCACTATGGAATATAATGAACTCTATCTACAATTATATTTTATACAGAGACATCAAACCTTTCTCTGCCTGTTTTATTTTTTTTTTTTATATAAAATATTAAATGATACATATTTCTGTAACCAAATACTAAATAAATTAATTTTTGAAATCAAAACATATGTATTGTTAATATAAAATATGTTACTTATATGTATGTTATGTATATATTTTTAAAGTAATAATACAATTTTTGTCATTTGTAGAGGAAACGTCTATAAGTGTACGTCGAATTAAGATACTTTCTGTTAAAAACGATATCGAAATGGCGCCAGTACCTTTAGAGGGCCATCAAACTCCCGTTACAAATAATATACCACAGGAAGGTAATCGTGGTGGATCTATATCCTTGGGGATGCTTATAGATTTTATTATACAACGAACGTATCATGAACTCACTGTTCTTGCCGAACTGTACGTACAAAATAGAGAAATATCGACAAAAATGCTTCCATTCTTTACGATATTACGGTTTATTCTGTATCTCTTTGTTTAGGCTCCCTCGTAAAACAGACATGGAACGCAAAATTGAAATTTATAATTTTTCTGCTCGGACGAGACAGTTGTACGTCCGTTTATTGGCACTGGTAAAATGGGCAAATAGCGCATCTAAAGTGGATAAATCTACAGTATGCACATTTTTATACATTTTGTACCGCATAATTAAAAATTACAGTCTAATAATTTGTTCTTTTCAGCACATAATGGCGTTTTTAGATAAGCAATCATTGCTTTTTGTCGATACTGCGGATATGCTGGCGAGGATGGCTCGTGATACTTTGGTACACGCTAGACTTCCAAATTTCCATATTCCTGCAGCTGTAGAAGTACTTACCACTGGAACATACGGCAGATTACCAGCTTGTATTCGAGTAAGTATGCACGAAAAAAAAATATATATATATAAAAATATGATTTGAGAAATTATTGTATTTGAATAGGAGAGAATAGTGCCTCCAGATCCTATCACTCCTACAGAAAAGAGAAGTACATTGCAGAGATTGAATCAAGTCATTCAACATAGATTAGTCACTGGAAACTTGTTGCCACAGATGCGTAACTTAAAGGTAATTATATAAAAATAAGTAGAAATCAATAGAAATAATATAGGCTCTAATGAAGTAAATCAAATAAAAATAAAAAGCCTTTGAAATCCAATGCTGGATGTTGTTGGGATAATAATTTATTATGTATAATAATTAATTAATAAATAATATTAAATAATAATTAATAAATAATTAATTAAACGTTTAGACTCATGATTAGAATTCTCTTTAGCAATTATATTAACATCATAAGTAAAATATATACAAAATTGATTGTTGATTTGAGACAATTATACACAATTGAATCATTATCAATGTATTTAAGATTACAAAATTATCTATTCATCGTTATGTGAATAAGATATATGTGGATAAGATATATCTGAATGAAATATTCAACTCGTCACATGTGTGCAATAATATCTGTTAAATTTTCAAACACACTAAATAAAACTTAAATCAATGAAATAAAGATTGAAAATTAAACTAAAGGTAATTAAAATCAAAAACTTATATGACAATTAAAAGATAAGCATATCATGCGATGTTGATAGCAATCATGCTATCATGGATCTAATGAGATACATGTATGTATTAAACAATAACACAACAAGACACTCGATAAACTGAAGAAGAGGAGGAAGCATCAAGTCTTAGACTTGATTAAAGTAGCGTACAGGAATTAACAAGCTATGTAAATTTATCAAGTACTCAAGGATAAACTTCCAGGTTTGTCACATACAAATGTTTACAGAATCGATTGCAAGGATTGTGATGCATCTTACGTCAAACAAGCAGAATGTGAAAAGAATTAAGGATTATATTAATTGGAATATGTCGCAATATTCCGTAATTACTGAGCACAGACTGGAATTTGCACATAATTTTGAGACTGGATAATATAAAAATTCTAGATAGAGAAAGCTTTTTAAACAAACGACTAATATCTGAAATGATATTTATACATAAAAAAAGAGCTTAATGTACAGAGTGATACGGAATTTTTAGATCTCTTATACACTTTAATTTCTAAAACTTGATGTTTCCCCTTCTTTTTTACTTTATCAAGTGTCTTGTTATGATCCATGATAGCGTGCTGTCAATATTGCTTAATATGTTCATCTTTTAACTATCATGTAATTGCCATGTTTTGATTTAATTACCAATCTTCATTTCATCACTTAAATTTTATTATTTAGTATATTTGGAAATTTAATGGCCATTATTGGAAACATATAAATAGGATACGGTGTACAAGTATGAAATGACGATTTGAGAAACAGATGGCGCACCAATGCAGTGTGAAGTATAAAAATTTAACATTATACGCCATTTTATTGTACCATCAACAAGTGTCAAACGCGCAAAGTGATTTGATTGAAAAGTGTTTGCATAGTATTGTGTTACTATGTTTAATATGAAATATGAATTTGTACCAAATAAGGAGCATTCGCGGACAGAATTAATTTTTTGTTTTCATTTGAAGAAAACTGCTGCGGAATCATACCGCAGATTACTTGGAGAAGCTTATGGTGAACATGCTCCATCGCAAAAAACGTGTAAACGATGATTTCAGCATTTCAAAAGTGGAGATTTCGATGTTGCAGACAGGGAACACGGAAAACCGCCCAAAAAGTATGAAGACGTGGAATTGCAAGCATTGCTGGATGAAGATGATTCACAAACACAAAAACAACTCGCAGAGCAATTGAACGTTAGTCAACAAGCTGTTTCCGATCGCCTACGAGAGATGGGAAAGATTCAGAAAGTCGGCAGATGGGTGCCACATGAATTGAACGAGAGACAGATGGAAAGGCGCAAAAACACATGTGAAATTTTGCTCGAACGATACAGAAAAAAGTCATTCTTGCATCGTATCGTTACTGGGGATGAAAAGTGGATTTTTTTTGAGAATCCCAAGCGCAAAAAATCATGGGTAGATCCAGACGCACCATCCACATCGACTGCAAGACCGAATCGCTTTGGCAGGAAGACGATGCTCTGTGTTTGGTGGGACCAGAAGGTGTGGTCTATTATGAGCTATTGAAGCTTGGCGAAATGATTAATACCAAACGCTATCAACAACAATTGATCGATTTGAACCGTTCGCTTAAAAAACTAGAATACCAAAAGAGACAACATAAGGTCATTTTTCTCCATGACAATGCTCCATCACATACGGCAAAACCAGTTCGGGACACGTTGGAAGCACTCAGCTGAGAAGTTCTACCCCATGCGGCTTACTCACCAGACTTGGCTCCTTCCGATTACCATTTGTTTGCATCGATGGGTCACGCACTTGCTGAGCAGCGCTTTGTTTCGTACGAAGATGTGAAAAAATGGCTCGATGGTTCGCGACAAAAGGAGAAAATTTTTACTGGAGTGATATCCACAAATTGCTCGAAAGATGGGAAAAATGTGTAACTAGCAATGGAGCATTCTTTGAATAAATCTCTTTTTATCATTCTTCCGAATTTAATGTTTTTTTTTCTTTTGAGAAAAAAATCGTCATTTCATATTTGTACACCATATACGAGTTGAATGTTTCATTCAGATATATCTTATCCATAGTTTATATAATGAACGAATAAATAATTTTTGTAATCTTAAACACATTGTAATGATTCAATTGTGTATATTGTCTAACCAATTTTATATATATTTTACTTACGGTGTTAATATAATTGCTAAAGAGGATCCTAACATGAATCAAAACGTTTAAATAATTGTTATACAATAAATTATAATTGCAATAACATTCAGCTTTGGCTCTCAAAGGCTTTTTATTTTTATTTGATAAACAGAAATATAAATTTTGTTAAAAGATACACTATAAAAGATACACTATAATTACTTTGTAGAAGAAAAAATGCATAATTAAGTTTAATTTATTATTGATGTATAGATCGAGGCAGGAAGAGTTACGTTTCTTATTGAGCAAGAGTTTTCAGTATCTCTTACGGTTATGGGTGATGGGCCAACAGTTCCATGGAGACTATTAGAATTAGAAATTTTAGTTTCGGATAGAGAGACTGGAGATGGAAAAGCATTAGTACATCCTTTGCAAACTCGATATGTACACCAAGTATGTTCATGAATCAAAAAAATCAAGTTGATAACTTATACTTTCAGATGTTTAACGGATGTTAATTATTTTTTACAACAGGTTGTTCAATCGCGATTGGCTGAAAGTACTAATCCACTATCAGAAGTATATCATATCCTGCATTATTTTTGTCAATCATTACAATTAGAAGTTTTGTATTCTCAAACGTTAAGGCTGATTCGAGATAGATTGGACGATCATATTCATGTAGACGAATATACACCTGGCAAATGTCTTTCTATATCTTATTGGAGGTAAAAACTAATAATAATATTGCTTGTTACAACAACGATACAATTCCAAAATTGTCATTTTTTTAGTTGCAAAAAAAAATGGAAAAACCATTTAAAAATAACATTTTTTATTTCTTTACAATCAATTATTACATTAAAATTATATTTTAAATATATAAATATATTATAATAAATAATAATTATATTTTAATGATATTTTAAAATTAATCTATTACAAAAATTTTAATGAGCTAGAACATTGAAACATATTTTTTGAAAAATTTTATTTCTTTTGATTCGTTGTTGTAAATAAATGATATATATATGTATGCGTGCGTGCATGCGTGTGTAAAAGGTATTTTGCAAAAGAATTTTTAGATACGCATTTTTATATACGTATGATATTTATATTCATATATGAGATCTTTTTAGGGAATTAACGAGAAAGGATCCACGATCAGAGCTTGGATATAGATTAACTGTTCAAGTAGATCAACATGATCCTGCGAGGCCTCTCGCAGTTGTACATATTCCGTCGTTAGGCAGTAAGGTAAAATGATACATTTATATTTTTCAAACATGACGTTTTACATCGTGATAATATGTGATGCAGGAAAGTGAGATAGCACATAGAGCCATTAGGTCAGATCAATTGTCGATGGAATGTTTACTCGTGCACACGATCTACGTCCGAACCCGAAATCGTTTGTCCGAATTGAAACAAGAGCTACAAACAATGCTGAAAGACGTTGAATGTAAGTTAAGAATACTTTTTGTCTCTTTTATATTTGATTTTTTATATTTGAAAATGAAAAGATTAATTTAAATAATATTTTAGGTACTTTAGCGGGATCTCCAGCTATTTTATCAGTGCCTATATTGCAACCATGTTTACGTGCCGAGCTGCTATTGGTTACAGTTGACACTCATACTGGTATGCTACAGTGCCATGTCCCTCAATATGACGCACCACTTGTCCCAGAATTAACAATGGCCTTAAATGGGGATCATTCGCGTCTTCCGACGCTTATATCTGAATTGAGGTATTAATTATTACAATACTTTATGATTTTTCCTGGACATTTTCAGCATATTTAGAAATAAAATCGGTTGTGTTTTGATAGATTTTGGATAACACAGAGACGTTGTGAGAAAACATTGCAACATCTACCAGCTACCTCGCATGAACGTTTGCCCGTTTTGCATCATCCAGATCATCCTATGTCTAAGATTAGTCGGCATCGGATGTTCGTTCAATTGCACCGACATCCGACAGTCATATTGGTACATCTTTATTAATTTAAAAAACTATAATTATAATAATAATTTAAAATATATACTATTGGGTTGTCCGGAAAGTTCGTGCCGATTTTGAAGGAAAATTAAAACGCAGAAGATTTAAATTTTAGTATACATTTATTAAATTTAAATCTTTTGCGGCACGAACTTTCTGGACAACCCAATATTTTAGTTTATGCTACACATACACACGCGCACACACACAACACACACACACACACACACACACACAGAGAGAGAGAGAGAGAGACACACACAGACAGACTGATAAGTCTACATATGCTTTATTTTAGATTGTCGCATTCAAAGAGAAAGAAAGCTCACCATGTGAAATAGAATGCTCTTTCTATCTTGCTGTAGTGAAGCATAGTTCCATCGAAGATGATCCACACGATGATAGCATAGAAACGGAAATACCGAAAATGTATTTGAAAGTCCAAAGCCTTATTGAGTTTGATACTTTTGTGATTACTCACGGCCCATTTACAAGTGTTGATAGTGGTGAGTAGATGTATACAAGTTTTATTATATTTTGGAATAAGGATAAGTATGAGAAGTATACCAATACCTATCGTTTATTAAGTCACATATTTTATTTTTCTTTAATTTTTTATGATTAAATCTTTTTTTTAACACTACAGATTTTCCTTATTCTAGATATTAGATAAAATCAATAGCTAAAGATAATAAGATAAGAATAAAGATAATAACGATACTATGTTAGTGTTGTGTATCGGTGCATTAAATCGGTACATGGATAAGTGAATAATTTTTATAGCTATGCATATATTTGTACGTAAAGGAGGGATTGTGATAAGGGTCATCTTTTGCCTTTCTCCCTGAATTCAAATGAAACTAAAAGGAGAAATGTACCTTCATTTCTTGATATTCTAAATGATATTTTTGGCAAGTTTTTGAGACTGATAATTCCGGGAACATTATTTTAAAAAATCTTAGTCCTTGAAAAGTATCACATCCTTTATAAATTGTTCAAATGCAAAATGTAATAATTTATAAAGGATGAGATTTAGGCTCATGTTCTCCTGGAAATTATAACGGAAATTATAAATAGGAGGTACACACCTCCCCTCCTCTCCTCAACAGTTTCGTTTGAATTTAGAGAGATTAAAAATGGCTTTATCGCAACTGCTTTTGTTTACGATGTATTATTAGCATGATATATTATTAGCATGATCAGCATGGATGTATAAGTATGTAGGCAAAAGATAGGTTCGCATCGCGTGCCCCAACATGCTCCATAGTTTCTACTCATTTCAATGCTCTTGTTAAAATAAGAACTGTGGTAGAAGTATATTAAAGCATGTTCGAGCCATGCAAATAAACCTGATATATACTGTATTGTGTAATTGCTTGTAATATAATTTAAAACTATAATTCCTAATCTTATGTAACAATTTTAATTTTTTAATACTAATTAATTTGAACACTTCATTTTTCCTCTGCTAATGATATAAATATAAATATATTATATATTATACCATATGATTCTTATTTATATATTAAGTTCTATGCGAACACTTTGGGCTTTTCTTTAATTAATTAAAATCAGATTAACGTAATTATAATACAACTTTGCTTCCGCCGTTTTTTTTCCGAAATTCGAGGCTTTATTGTAAAAAACTGGTTATACATTTATGATTCAAAGTATTGTCTATCGCTGGCCACTACTTTCTCCCATCTTTCGGGTAGCGTACAAATCCCGCGTCGAAAAAACTGAGGCATCATCTTTTGAAGCTATCCACGAATCGATCCAATTTTTTACTTCTTCATAAGACCGGAAGTGCTGGTCAGCCAGGCCGTGTGCCATTGATCGAAACAAGTGATAGTCAGGAAGCAACGTCTGGAGAATACGGCGGGTGGGGAAGGACTTCCCATTTCACGTTTCCAAGTATGTCTTGACTACTTTCGCAACATGGGGTCGAGCATTGTCATGCTGCAAAATCACTTTATCGTGTCTCTCGTTGTATTGCGGCCGTTTGTCTTTCAATGCTCGGCTCAAACGCATCAATTGCATTCGATACCGATCGCCTGTGATTGTTTCAGTCGGTTTTAACAATTCATAATACACTACGCCGAGCTGGTCCCACCAAATGCAGAGCATGACCTTGGACGTCAAAATCACCGTTCTTGAAGCGTTGAAACCACTCACGACACGTTCTTTCACTAATAGCGGCCTCACCATAAGTATTTGAGAGCATTCGATGAGCCTCAGCCGCAGATTTCTTCATATTGAAGCAAAAAATTAAAACCTCCCGCAAATGACGAGAATTTGGCTCGTAAACTGACATTTTCAATCGAGAATAACTTTATGATGCAGACACAAATCGACTAATGTTTCTATGGGGTTATGTTGACAGATGCCCAAGTTTATTGTATGATGTCTATGATCTATTTATTTCGACCACTACTTACCGTTAAAGCCATCTATAGGAAAACGGCGGAAGCAAAGTTGCACACTAATACATGCGCGCGCGTACGCACGCATATACAACTGAAATCTGAATATTTCTTCATTTTTTTCCATTTCCATTAGAAAAAGAGAAACATTTAGTTTGCGAAACTAAAATAGAATTAGTAGTAATATATAATTAATATATAACATATAAATAACTGTCTTTATAATCAGGGCTGGACATGTATTTGAAATACTTTTATTTAAAACAAATTATTTGCAATACAAGTATATTTATTGTAGTATTTCAGCGGAGCACATGAAAGTATTACACATTTTGTATTTAAAATAGAAGATGTTTGTATTTTGTGATTCAAATAAATAAGATTAATTGTCAATCTTAGTTATTTGAAATATAAAATACAAAATACAATTACGTTATAAATATTGTTTTTCAAATAAAAATATTTCAGATACATGCTCAGCCCTATTTATAATTAACTTATCGAGTATACTGTATTAATTAATTGTAATTATATGTCAATGCTCTCGAATTAGATACATATAATATATTCTGCTTGAGAATGTTAAGATTAATCTTCTTACTAACTCTTACTAGTTACTAATATACTCATTTGTTCGTTATTAATATGCAATATAATAAAAACGGATAATATTAACATCTGGCATCATTCAGTGTGGTATCGGCATACTGCTCTGTTACTTTTAGGGGGATTAACGGGTGGATTTTTTAGGGAATAATGATCAAGATGGGGGGTGCATTACAGAAGTGGTGGAGACGTCTAACAACAAACGTAGAAGCACCGGGGTCGGAGGAAGGACAGATGCGGCAGGAACACCACAGAATAGAAGACCAAAGCATCCAGCTTACTTTATTCCGGAATTGGCACACGTTGTCGCTTTGTGCGACGAACGAATACCGTTCGTAACTCTGGCTCAAGAAGTAAGATTTTATTCTCTCATTGAGTTTTCCATATAGTATGTCGTTTGCTCATTTAGCAAAAAATATCTTGTATATGATAATGAATTCTTCCGTGTTATAAATTATTTTAATTTAATATTAATACGCAGCTTACTAGACGAGAGATAGCCCATCAGGGACTCCAAGTCGAGGCGAATGCCACGGCATTGGTACTCAAACTTGTTCAATTGCCTGCACCATCACCGAGCATAGCTACGAGCAGTGCTTGGCACGCTCTTCTCAAAAGACTTTTGAGTGTCTCGATTAGAGTTCAGGGCAAAGGCATGGCTAAAACTTGGACGGTGGAATTTGTATTTTATGGTAGTCCTCTCTCCAGCAGTCATCCCAAAGAACAAGGTTTTGATACTGTTTCTTCATACTAGAGTTTGTCCATTAATGCGTATATTTTTCATAATTTTACAATATAAAGTTAAGAATTTAACAGTGAGGTATTATTACAATTTCGCTAATAAGTCTTCTTTTTGTTAAATTTTAAAAAATATATATGTATTTGTGTGTGCGTGCGTGTGTGTATACATGCACATGTATACATATATGTAACATATAAAAATGTGTGAATGTTTCCATATTAATTTATAGTATAAGGCCGCAGCACAGACTTTTGCCTAACGCTGCATAACGCATAAGATATAAAGGAATTAACTAATCAGAGTATGAAATGAAAGATTCTAATTAGTTTATTTTCTTAGATTTTATGCATTATGCAGCGTTATGTAAAAGTCTATACTGCAATGTTTAAACTGAAATATGGCACACGTCGATTCCGAATAAAATCGGATCTTCTCTCATGAGCAAATAAAATACGTTGTGTGTTCTGCTTCCTTTAATAGTAGATATTAAGTGTAAATTTCGGATTTTACAGGTTTGCGTAGACCAGTCTACTTTCAATATGAAATGGGTACAGCCGATACCGTCTCCCGCACTGTAGATGTTTTATTAAACGATTGGGGACAGATAGTACATTTGTATTTGATTGTTCATGATTTAGCTGAATATTTCAAAATGGGTGCGTTACACATTGCACTGAAAAATCATTGCATTTTTGCATTGCATAAATTGTGTTCTATATAATTCGCCATACTACCTTCTTTATTTCAGAGAAATATAACTTACGCAATATGGTTAGCATTAAGTCTTATAGTTATAGCAAGCTGGTTCTTGCGTATGGTCCAAATCAAGGTGCAACTGTCACTATACAGTGGAGTACGAACGACAAGGCATTTAAGCTGGTATTTGGTAGGAGTAAGTTTTTCGCATCGATATCAATTTCGAACATTCGATCGATAGAAATGATGTAATAACGAATATTCCGCTTGTATTGTAGGTCCAACAAATACGGTGACCAATGCGCATTCTATAATGAAGGAACAACTAGAAGCTCATTTGAATAGATACACGAATTTGGCACAAATTATTCATATACTTAACGAAACGCTTCAGCCACTCACTTCGATTAGTAAATTACCATCAATCCCTCAGTTATGCGTGCATGCGGTAAGTGCACGCGCGTATCTGCCTTTTTTCGGTTCAGATTTACGGCTAAATTCCTCTCTACAGAGACCACGAGTGCCGGTACAAACGTTTACTATAATGCCACAATGTGTCACTTTAGTAAGGATAGCGTATCAAGGAATGTATTGTTTGGAATTACGTTTGCGCGGCGGGGGTTTGGTGAGCTTACGCGACGGTGCTTATAGTCGTTTCGACAGAAGTAACGTTGTCGATGAGTTCACACCTACGCAGGGCTTAAAAGTAAGATATACAAAAAAAAAGACTCGAATTGAATGCTTAAAGCGTTTGATAATCTCCTGATAAATGTATTTCTGTCATTACAGGCATTTTTGTCGAAATATGTCGACGAGAATGCGGTATACAGAAGGAGGTCTCAGTCGGAGGATGATAATCCACCGTCGCCTGTTACTATGGACAGCGATGGTGCTGGAGGCAACGTAAGCTTCTTAGGCCATCACAGGAGTGGGCCCCAATCGCCCGCCCAACAACGCGAAGGTCTGAGATTTCATCCACCGCTCACACCACCGTCTGGTAGTAATCCTCATACACCGGCCAGTCCTCATACAGCAAATATATCCCAGGTAAGTCCTAAGTATATCCATTCAACTAACTATAAGATAACAAATCTTTTTTTACATATTTGTTCTCCAAGGAAGGAATATTTTATTTATTACTTTGTTATCTTGAAATTTGTTTTTCTAGTTTTCGTTACAATAGAATTTTTTTTCTCAAAATTAATCTATCAGCATCTTAATGAGAAATTCGATTAATCTCAAACTTCTTTTTAGGCAAATCAACATCAAAGTTTCGGAAGTAGTCCTGCAACTTCATTTAATTTAGCATCTCCGCCATCGTTACCACCAAATACACCTAATATGTTACCACATCCATCTCCTGGATCTGGACTCGTTGCAAACAGTCCTTTAAATCCGATGCACGTTCCTAGTCCAGCTGGTCTCATGCCGACATCATCGCCTGGTCCTTGCAGTAATGTTCAAGTAGGGCATTCTCCTGCTGGTTCATTCATGCAAACAGGTATAAGTGACAAGAAATAAATTTTCATCGTTATATACTTTTATATTTATTATACTTTAGATTTATTTTCTATGCTTAGTTGATAGCACTAGTTCGAAAAGTATACACTGAAGCGTTTTCTATTTTGAAATGACGTTTTTTTTATTCAGTGCAACTGAACTCAATATACGAGTTCACTGAACTAATTAATATTAGATCAGAAGTTTTTTTTTATTCTTACATTAGATTACACTAGAATTCTCTTTTTCGCTTTCGCCAAATATCTGTAATATCGGCGTTAAGACACACAGTTATTAATCGATCACTTGAGCTGGCGGATGCTTCTTTTCCTGCTGGATTGCTAGCTGGATTAGAATTTTGCATTAGTTCAAATCAGTTCTTATAATACAATCCCCGTGTAGGAACAGAAAATAAACTTTTTATTTTTCAAAATTTTAATGATTTTTTAAATAAATGAATAATGATGGCCAATATGCATTCCGTATTGAAGGATCATCTAGAAGTTCATTTGAATAGATACAGAATTTAGTATAAATTATTCATATATTTAACGAAACGCTTTAGCCACTCATATTAAAAGATATTAGATTGTTAAATTACCATCAATTTCTCGGTTATGCGTGCATGATGCGGAAGTGTATCTACCTTTTTTCGGTTCAGATTACTGCTTTTTTTTATGAACTTAATAACTGGATCCTTCTCTTTATCTTAATTAAAAGTCTTTACACTTTTATGATATGTCACTCAGCATTATTAAGATCATTCGAAGATGCGAAAAAGTATCAAAATATTAAATTGCTAGTCAATTTAACTTGTGATATTACTTCGATAGTTTAGTAGCAGTTAGCGTTTCAAGACCGAACAATTATTTCGATGCGCTTTCAAAAGACTACATACGTAATATATAAATTCAATATATAAATTCACACAGAATTATACAAGCATTTAAGATCCAAGTAGACCTAAGTCATTGATTTCTATAGTTTGCTTTATACTTTTATTATGTTTGAAAAAAATGCAAGCTAAAAATGATGATAATTTTCAATTGAAATTGTAAGTTTATAGGGAATATCAAATGTTTGTCAGGAATATCAAAGCGAACAAAGCTATCTTTACAAGTTAATAATGATACGTCAATGTTTAGGTCATATCGATGGTAGTCCTTTTCCGGCTTCTCAAAGTATGGCTTCCCCGGCTGCCTCCAACTGGCCTGGATCTCCCAGTGTACCGAGACCTTCTCCCGCGAGACCTGGACAAAGCCCGAGTCATGCAGCATTGCATAGTCCGCAAGCCTCCGATCATAAGACCGGTAGTCACATCTCCAGGGTATTACCGCAGAGGTCCTGGGCGGGTGCCGTGCCGACACTTCTCACGCACGAAGCTCTAGAAATGCTTTGTTGTCCATCGAGTCATCCATCCGCCTTACCAGGTCCGGATATGTCTCCGCTTGAGAGATTTCTAGGCTGCGTCTATATGCGGAGACAGTTGCAACGCTTTATCCAGACGGAAGATTGCGTAAGTAAACTTGCGTACAAATCGTAATATAATTCAGGATTTCAGTCCTAATAAAACTTTACAATTAGGAAGAAACGTATTGTAAACTGTTTTGACGCTAAATTTGAGCGTCAGCATGAAAAAGCATCTTTATACTAAAGAATAATATAATAGAGGCAGCTATTTAGATTTTACTTGAAACTTATACTTTTAAGGTCTGTTTTTTATTCCTGTACTCTCTGAACTGGTGCACACGGTGGTGCATAAGTTGAAATTTACATTTCAACTTAGAGAGTACAGAAATAAAGGCTTATTGTGCACAGAACGCGTCAACGCGTAGCAAGAGACAACGCGATAACCAATTAAACTCTTCCAGATCAGATCAGAGTCTAATTAGCTATCGCGCGATTTCTTACCACGCATACCATACGTCCTATACGCAACAAGCCTGTAACGTTTTCGACTGTAGTGGGCATCACATAGTTTGCATCGATCTGGATTGGATAAAATTAATATTCTACTGTTGATTAATGTTATATATTTTATCAATATAGACTATCAATAGCTGCATTTAACAGAGAAAATTAATCAGTGAGCACTCTAATTCTTTAATATGATGGTTCTTACACTTAAATCCAGAGCAAAGATTGGTCAATTCTTCCTTCATCCGAGATCTTGGACTGATTTCTATCATCATGCTAAACACTTTAATCATGCTAATCATGCTAAAGACTTTAATATTCGTAACGTTTTTAGAGTTTATTTAAAAAAATTAGATCACTTATAGTTATTATATTTGATTTATATACAAGTTTTGTCTGTTGAGCATGATTGAGGTACTTTCTGTAGGGTACAACTTGTGTAATCAACTTTCGTGCTATTAATAAAATAAATACAAATAAAATATATTTTTTACATGCACATATGTATATATATGTGTGTGTATGTATATAATATATAAATTGTGTTATAGTTAACTGGTATCAATGCAGAACCCGGTGTGGTACATTTCAAATCTGAGAGCTTGCAATGCAGAGTTGGATTAAATCCTACGCATTTCCAATCTCTTCACATCAAGGTTCTTTCACTTCCAGAATATAAAGATCAATGGAGCGTAGAAGAGTTACAGGTAATTGAAGCAGACGCTTTATATATCCATGCGACGTGATTCACTTGAGAAAATAAAATAAATTTCAAATAAGAAAAAAACAAGTCAATAATATGAGCTGGTTAAGAATAAAAAGAGTTAATATACAGTATCCTTCAAGTTTGGGAACATCCTATAGGAAAATCATTACATGATAACGATCTATACATGTTTTTCATTTAAATACATCGTAAGATGTTTAAATGACGATAAATATTTTTATTTAGAACACTTATAAAAGCTTGTACATGCCGAAAATATGTCAAACAATCATCATAGCATCAAAGCGCTCAAAGTTGAATTTCGCGCTTTGGTCTATTATTTATATATTGTCACTTGTTTTGCAATATTGTACTTGCATGTTGTATATATCTACATTCACAGATTGTTTAATTGTAGTATTTAACGGTTTCTATAAAAATGACTCAAACTATTCAAATCGCAAGTTTATTTGAGATTCCGTAAAGTTGTAAAATGGCTCCGATGAATCAGATTTTGTATAAATCGCATTTTAATTAAAATTCCATATTTTAATAGTATGTTATTATAGATAACGTATGTATGTAGAGGAGTTCTTTGTAAGTTGGACATCTTTGTAGGTTGGATATCTTTGTAGGTTGGACACCCCTTGACATTTCGAATATTTGCAATGGAAACATTCCGACTATCATCGTCTCTAAAATACTAAACTTTACTTTTTACGTGATTTTGGAGCGAAAAGACGCGCCACAGATTTCTGTGCCAAACAAATTGTGAAAAAAAACATCGAAAAAAAAGTGAAAATTAATAATCCCATTTTTTACTAAGGTTATAAATTGAATAATTTTCATCGAAAATTTAAGGTGAATATATGTACTGTGCTCCATTTTTTATGTATTTTCATAATGTAGAGAATTCCGAACAAATCATGAATTTTTTTTTCAATGCACTTCTAAACGTCAACAATTTTATAGGTTGTACACCATAGGTGTATAGGTTTTTTTTCATTTTTCATGATACGACGCAATTGTTTATGATTTTTTGATGTTCGGAATTCTTATTAAGTGAAATAAAAAGTATTTTTATTGCATTTTAATGAAATTTTCGGTGATTTTTTTTCCAAATTGAGTTCAAAGTTAGGATTTTCGTGACCCAAAGCCATAGCGAACAACTGTTCTTATTTCATCGGAAAATGTTCTAAAAGAACGACAACAAAAGCGAATAGCTGCGAAAAATAAGAAAGAAGCGCTGAACAAAAAGTAACACCAAAAAAAAACGCATAATGACTATATAATTTGCTCAAAAAAAATGCCTGACAAACTCACCAAAAATAATTCCATAAAGTGCCGCATACATGCAATATAGTCGTTCACGCAAAATGTGCCGATTATGTGCGTTTACACATGCCCAAATTGCGATTCCGATATGGACTAATATCAATATGATGTCATTTCATTAAAATTTTCATTTTTTTATGTTCAAATCAACTGAGACCAATTAATAAATTGAAGAAATTTTATAAATTTTGTAAACATTGTATTTTTACTTGAGTTTTTAACGTTTTTTGGGGAGTGTCCAACCTACATTAAAAAATTTGTGGGGGTCGTTTTTGAACCTTTTTTTGAATTGGCTATAAAAAAAAATCCACTAAACCCAATGATCTTTTTGTTCACAATATAGTTATTAACCTCAGCTTTCAGACAGAGTCTTGATATCAATGATATGTTGATTCTCATCTGAGTTATGAGCAAAAATGCTAAGGATGTCCAACCTACAAAGAATTCCCCTATGCTTTTATTTCGTTTCTCAATTAAATAATTACTCACAAATCAAAATATATTGATTTTATTATATATTTTTCTTATAAATATATATATATATATGTTTATTACATAATATATATTTATTATATAATATCTATTATATTTATTCATTTTATATATATATA